GTCATTGACCGCCTCTTTGAATGTGACGAGCATTTGATTCAATTGTTTGACCTTTTCTTTCACATCTCCATCTCCAGTGCCCATCAAATGTATGATTCTTTCTAACCACTCGTCTATATTCTCATTTGCGATCTGATTGATGTCTATCTTTTTCTGTACTCTCTTTCCATTGTCTCTTTCAAAGAAAAGGGTCAGACATTTGCTTTCAATCCAAGAGTACAGTCCAGCCACCGGCCCCTTCCGGTTGCGAATGACCAGTGATTTCAGTGAATATATAAGGGATCGCTTCTCAGTAATGGTCAGACATTTAGCGAACTGTCTCTTAACGTATATTAAATTCATCCATTCGTCAAGACATCCATTTCGCGTTTCTCTAACTTTCCATCCGATAAATTGATGGTCAATGAGTTGATAGCAATATTCTTTGACCACTTTTGGATTAGACGAACTCATAAACCAAGAAGTGTTCGGATATACCATGTCTTCCATGACCACCACCGGACGTGCCACGTGATACCCTGGATCTAATAGAACATATCCCGACCTCTTATACTCAATAGTGATCCGAACGCAGACCAGACAGTGTTCTTTGACATTATTGGGCGATTGCATGCTGTAAGCACCGGTATCTTTAACAGATTCTTCACAAGACACCAAAGCTATAGAACGACTCAACTTTGGATACATTTGACGCAACTTTCGGATCAATGAAATGGAAAGCCCGACACAAGAGAGGCTGTCCTTTGATATACGACTCTTATAGTTGGAGATGAAGTCCAGGAGTGGAAGTGATTTGTTGCTCTTTTTTGCTTTTTTGAAGTTTTGGTAGAATTGAAGGAAGGAATTGAAAGTATTGTAATCATAAGAGACGAGTTGTTGTTGTAATACATTCTCGCATTCAATCATAAACTCTTCGAAGTTCTCCAAAGTGTCAAACTTTGCTTCTTTGAGTTCATTGGACCAAATCGGGACATCCAATACCTGCTCGACAGTCGACTCGTCTCCCAGCCAGGCGTCGACTGTCATTCAATCATAAACTCTTCGAAGTTCTCCAAAGTGTCAAACTTTGCTTCTTTGAGTTCATTGGACCAAATCGGGACATCCAATACCTGCTCGACAGTCGACTCGTCTCCCAGCCAGGCGTCGACTGTTTGTCCTTTCAGTTCATCTGAATTGAGAGGGGTATTGGTGGCGGCGTTCAGGGGTTGTCCATTAAGTCAAGACGGCCATTCCGATACACATTTTCCAATAATACTCAATGGGTTGGCCTCAGACTCGGCCAACACTTGTTCATTGAGTAGAGACAAGGCCTCAAAGTTGTCGTCTTCTGACAGCGTATCTGTTGATGAGGAATGGGGTTTGAAATGAAATCTTGTAATAATAAATAAATGGTTTTGAATGTCAGATACGAACCCATGGAGAGGATATACGACTCAATGCAGTGATCTTACAGACAGTGTATGTAATGATTGCGTTATTGCGTTCACTTCTCTCCCTTTAAATCTTATTGCGTTTCATTCGGTGCGACGACTCCTCAACTCGTGATCCCTTACTTCGCTAGAGTTCACACTCAGAGTGAGTGAACACTTGGAATATGGGTTGTAATGGTATACCAAACCAATGCACTGTTACTTCATTCATGTTAACCAAGTAATGACAAACACGTAATCAAATATTCAATTTGCATCCCAATATAATACAGAAATTTAAAACTATTGTCATTCCAGTGAATACGGGTTGAACTGCATTGACAGTACGGGCGCTTATTTTGGTGTTTTCTGTTTCATGCGATTATAAATGAGAAATATTGCATATT